AGCCAGACACCAAAAAAACCAAACAATCCAAAAAAAACAAACAAACCAAAAAAGAAAACAAACAAACAAAAAAATAACAATGATTTTCACACTAGTCGGAATCCTTCAGACTAGTGCGGAAATCATTGGTCTTTTGTTGTTTTTGTTTTGTTTTTCCTGTTTTGTTGGTATGTTCGTTTTTTTGTTTTGGTTTTGTTAAGGATTGTTTGGGTTTAAGGTGTAGGGTTTAGGGGTTTTGCAAGTGTAACTTTGCAAGCAGGGCCTTCCGAAGCATGCAAAGCAGCCCTGAACGACAAATACGGAACAAGTACTGAAAAGTATGCGAAAGTGTGGTGTGCAAAAACCCAGGCCCCATGACAGACCCTTCTGTATATATAAGATATTTTGTACAAAATATATGTATAAGCGATGCCTGTGTCGTTGAAAAGACATTGATTCGACGGCCAGGCATGGAGTACGAAGTTTGGTGGATGAAGCCAAGCGGCTTCCTGGCAGAACCGTCACAATGACCGACGACAGAAGGTCTCTCAAGACCGCCGTCGTGTCCTGCAAAATGCTCAGCAAACTCGGAATACTTCGGTAACCTCGTCATATCATCGCATGGAGCGCCGGAGCACACACACATACACAAGATCCAGCGTGCTGCGCAAGCAAAGGCGATGCGACCTGCTCAACAGAGCTGGCACTGCGAGAGACTGACGCGCATTTCAGAATTACCTGCGCCCCAAAGGGGGGGCGGCGAAAGCTCACAAACCGCAGGCAAGCTGCGCGGAAAAGGACGGAGATGGGCGATACTTCTTTTTCACTTGCCGCTGCCGTCGCCCCTCCCCCCACTCCCCGCCCCGGCACCAGGCATCATAAGCATCATCGGGGTTCCCGTGAACGACCGGCTTGCGGGCTTTTGTTAGAATTTTGAGGTGCGACCCTCTGAGCAGCAATAGCGGCGCATGCCCTTCCACCCCCTGCCCCGGCAGCAGGCATCATGAGCATCATCGGGGTCCCGGTTCTCCAAAAAGACGTCTCTCCTAGAGTCCCACACGCAGCCCCGAAAAAGGAGCCTGTGTGGCCCACGCCCGCAACCCGTCATGGCCTCGGGGTTGGCTCGAAAACGGAGGGTGTTTTGGGGAACTTTCTGGGTGGTCCCCCCACCCATAGCTGATCAGCAAAGCTGGGTCTCAAACGAAAACTCTTCCCTCCACGGAGGGAGCTTTCGTAATGCTTCAAGTGGACACACGCTTAAATGGTAATAATTCAAGTGGACACAGGCTTAAAAGACAGACTTCCAGTACATTACTTTCCCGTCGCGCCTCGCCAATCCGGGAAAGCAGGGCCTGCGACAGATATTCGATACTGTGCAAGGGCGCACCAGAGCCACAGAGGGTCTCCCAACCAGGCCTCGGGAGGAAGCCGCTGCAAAATCCGAATGCAGTCCTCACAAGAAGCTCGAGAAGGACAGACACGTCTCTGCCACCAGGTCCAGCTTAATTCTTCGGCTTGCCATGTAAGCCTAGAAGCCGAAAACTCTCCCACACAGCACCGATCCTTTCGCGTAGCCCTGAGCTGCTTCAGCAGGTCCTTTATTACACCTCAGGCCGCGAAAGAGCTGAGTACATCAGCGAAGTGATGTTAATTGCTGGCCACAGCCGGCAAGTCGAGAAGGCAAACCAACAAGAACAACAGGCTCAAGAAGATCACGGCGAAATGTAGCAACAACGACTAAGCTCAGCGGTAAGACCCGGCAAGTTTCTGGCTCGACACGGATGCATATACTTGGTGCAGACTAATAAAACCGGCCTAATCCTAAACCCTAAACCCTGAGAGGGCTCTCTGGCATGACATGGGCCCTGCGGAACTCTGAGGTCGGAGCTTTCAGTGGGTGCGGAGGAAGGCACCGCACCAAAGGACTGGTCAGATGCACTGTGAGGGTTCCGATGCCACTTATCACAACTATGCACTAGTATTGCAATGATTATTATCAGTACTGTTGCTACTATTATTAGCATTATCATTATGTCTTTATGTCACATCAGAGGCATGTGTGGCTACAGTCTTCCTATCAGAAGCAGGCTGTTCCAGATCCCCACGCTCCCACCTGCGACATCCAGTCTGGCATCTCCTCCGAAGCCGGCAAGGCCCGGCGAGCAGAGAGCGGCAAACCTCCAGAGTCTTGAGTCACATCTTCCCAAACACACAGCCGCTCTTTGAAAGGTGCCTTCAAAGAAACTCAGCAAGAAAGTATAAACCACGCTGGAGAGCGTGTGGTTTGCACCACTGCTTATTATAACAACGCCCCTGCACTTGGTTCCGGGGAAGGGATGCTCCCTGAGCCCGCCCAATCACTGGGCCTTTTGAGGCAGTTCGCCTTTTCTCGTTGCCAGCGGCCTTGAGGAGGGTCTCCTCAGTAGGAAAGCCGCTCGGCTCGCTGGTTCTGTGGATCATCTCCAGAGTGGCTCCTCTTTGTGGTCCGCTTTGTTGTGCATCTCCAGAGCCGATGCATTTTGCAAAGGCACGCGGCCCTCGATCAAAATGGGCCTCGGATTCCCGCCAGGCATCCCAGGTGTGCGCAGGACCATGCTGAGCTTACCAATGGACCAAGACCAAGCTTCGCAGACGCAACTGCTCGGCCCTAGACGGGATAGGCTTTATGCTCAGGCTGGAGCCGCGCATATCGCTGCACAAGGGAGCCGAGTTGGCCCTGCGCCTAGCAGCACGACCCGAAAGGCTGCATTTTGATTGAGCAGTTGCTTTTCACGGTTGTTGCTCTGATGAAGGCTACAAGGCGGTACACATCAATCAGCGCGGTTGCTGCATGTTTCTGCGACCTTCAGTGATTCAGCGTGTTCAGAACCATTTACCACATGATGTGCCGGAATCCTGCGGCCTTTAGCATCTGTCTAAGCTTGGGCTGGAAAGCCACCACCTGCCGGATTCCTTCAAGTATTGGGCTGCCTTGGGAAAACTGCGAGGCAGATGCGTCTGGCTTTTGTAAACTTAGAGGACTCGCAAAAGCGGGGGTTCTGTGTGAGAATGCACAAAGCAGGCATCGCCTGCTCCCAACTGTCCTGTCGCAATTCATATTCACTATGTAGGGTAAACTTCAAGGCTGTGGCACTCAAACTACTGGATCAGTCTTGGATTCCCGATACAAGCACGACAGTTGAGATTTCAATGGCGCATGCGATCCGAAACAAGTCGTTTTAAGTGTTCTTATCGACTCGACCGTCTTACCCCTGCATGCTTTCAACCCCAGGCGCAAGCCTCAATGGGCAGAACAGATGACAGATGGACCATTCTGAGCCTCAGGCACATGATCTGTGACAAACACGACAGCCAATGAAATGAAAAGCAGGATATGTCAGAAGCAAAGGCAAGCAGTCTAATGAGACCCAAGATGCAGGATCCAAAGGCGTTTCTGGCCTTCGTCAATCAGCATTTTGGCACTTCGACAGATGTTCGTGCAAGCAGCCGCCTGCATTACAGAGGCCCCGACTTTCGGCGACGAGCCGCGCCGAGGGCTCGGACTGCGCCAAAACGGCTTCGCAGCTTTCCATCCGGCTTAATCTTAAGCGCTACCCGAAATCCACTGAAAGACTACTAGAACACATTGGCGTGCTGCTTCCGGCGAGCGGCGCAAAAAAAGCAATGAGAGTGAAGAAGGAAGATGTTGGTGAGTTGGGTTGGGACGAACCACAATTGAGTTGGAAGGAGCCTCTGCGTCTGCCAGAGCAGCCACTGCAACACGGCCTTGGCAAAACAGCATACAGCAGGGTTTAGGGTTTAGGGAGGGACCAGTGCGCAGTCGAGCAAAGCTTCCCACAGTCATCGTCGGCCAGAATTTCAGCCTTCGTGTAGACAGCAGCAAGGCACAGCACCCTCACACACATGCACACAGTAACGCCGACATGCTGCCATTTTTGTTCAACCGGCAGCAACTGGGACGTGCTGTAATTAGCTCTCCTGCAGCCTGCACTTAGGAGCTCTGCAATTTACAGTACACTTGATCAAGACTCGTGTATTGGCAGGACCTTGCGGGGACTGCACAGCGTCCCCGTTCTCCCGGCCTCCCAGCGCTGCTCACAGCGCGGAAGCAACGCGAGGAGCAGCCTGAGACCTCCCAAGACCTGGCGATGGCCCAGGCTCTTGAAAGAGGCTTGGCAAGGGATGGCCAGTGCCACTCAGGTTCCGACGACGCTCTCCTGCATTCCACCCATCCCACCCATGGCCGCCTTGCAAGTCCCCCAGAAAAAGAGATGAAGATTTTGGGAAGTCTTCGGCTCCCGACCGCTGCTGCCCTCTGCGTTTCAGTCTTGATGCAGAGGACGACCTCGCTTGCGCTGCAGACGAGATCTCATTCCCTGGCGCCAGAATTCCCAGCTTTTTGGCACATCCGATTCGTAGGCAGTTGGCGTAGTTGATGTTCCGGAGGACATTCACGCTCTGCAGGAAAATGCAGGCCTCACTCTGCGGAGTCTGATGAGACAGTTGCATAACATGAAGCACTTCGTGCTCTCGAATCTCTCCTTTGAATGAAGTCCGCTCCAGCTCTCCGCTCACTGCTCCCGCTCCTCCCATGACTCTACAAGCCCTGAGCACCCTTCTTATGATGTGAGCATTTCTAGGTCCGCGGCACGGGCGTGAGCCGCCCCGGCCTTCTGCGAGGAGCGTTGAAGGTCCCGAATCTCGACCAGGATCTCCTCCTGAAGATGTTTCGCGGTTTTGCCTTGGGAATCCTTGTTTCATAGGGTTGGCCCATTCGGTTAAGTTCAGCTGGATTGGCAAGGCTGTCCCGTCTGGACGATAGGTGGCTCAGCTGCCGCTCGAAACGGCGGTGCACCTGGACGGCACAGGGCAAGAGTCCTGGGCACTTGAGACTAGGTAAGCGCGGGACGTGCGGAAGCGACAGCCGCTGGTAGTTCAGCAGCAGAACCTTCACACAGAGCATAGCAAGGTCCCTTAGCCCCTTGGGATTCACAAGAGACACAGCTGGCCCATCAGTGATTCCACGGGCTCCGAGGCAGCAGCAATGTTTGCCAGGGCAAACCCGAAGAAAGCGATTGCCCACAGCCAGGCTCTGGCAATGGCCTGTTCACCGCTTGCCAAAGCAAACTTAAGCCGACCGGCTACTCGGGTTCTGCTAAGGGCAGACTTTGCCGAACTTTGAAAAACATGTCTGTTGCTCAATCACTCTGCCCCACGTTCAGTGAGCAAAGACTGTCTAAGGACTGCACAGCATATGGAACCGCTGCAACACCTCGGTTCTTCAGATAGGAGACTTACTGAGACTTAATGCACCACCGCTGAAGAATGAGAGTCCACGTGTAGATCTCGGTGGTGAATTCAGGGCATTTCAGGGCTGCGTCTTTGCAGTCCCAGTGGCCACAACAAGCAGCCAGGGCCAAGGTCATCAAAATGCGACGCTCGGACCGGCGGTCCTGGACTTCACACATCGCTGCTGCTCGTGCCTACTGGAGATTACTAGCAACGCGCAAAAAAATCAAAGAGGCTTGTTGACATCTACCTCGCTGCACTTCGCGGCCTCGGGGCTGTCCTCCAGGACCTCGGGAGCTTGCCTCAGATATTAGGCCGACATTGAAGACACACGTTACACTGTCGCAAACTGTCGCACCATCCAGCCAGAAATTCGCGGCCGGTTGGCTCCAGCATGATTTCTGCGATGTAGCGTTGGTTGCGACCTAGGCGCTTTCCTTCTTCTGTCCGCCTCATCATCACCACGTGTGATGATGACGATGACAAGCCTGTCTGGAGCACACGTAGTCAATAACAAAATGTGGTTAGCTTCAGCAACAGCAACTATTTAGATTTGCGTTCGCCGTTCGCCTTCCACGACCAACACAGCAAAAGTGCTGGCATAAGGGGTCGCTACAGTTGCAAGCCGCACACCAAGCCACCGAGAATAACCCTGACGACAGACACTGCTCGATCCTGTTTAATTAAAGGCCAAGGACTAGGAAGGGATACAAGATGTACAAAATTCGATGACTGCGTGTGTATGCATGTGTTGCAGCAGCCCCATAAGATCTCCTGAACTTGATGCTGGGGACCCTACTCCGCCGCAGCATCGACTGTACCTCGGCGGCACCCTGTAGGAGGTCGCTGCGGCCTGGGTGGAATCGTTGGAGACTGCCCCTCGGAAAGCTTGCAGTGCAAAGATCATCGAAAAGAAAGGTGGGACCAGGAGAGGTGAAGGCTTCAGATTTCCAAAAGACCACCACACTGGGCCCGTGGGCAGGGGCATCGCAACGTCCCTGCCGGTGAAGCCAATGGTGCAAGGCGCCGTCGAAGGTCCTGCCAGCGAGTTGCCCGATTTCAGCCAAACATCCGTCTTAGCTCCTTCCCCCATGCACAGGTCTCTCCTGGAGTGACTCAAAGTTCGCCGCTAAGGCCTGCTCCAGCCGCTCAAACCTTCAAGGAAGCGCTAGTTCCCACAAAGCGATGAGTTGCTCTGCACTCCTACTAATCATACAAAACATCGAATATATCCTTATGTGTGTGTGTGTATATGTATATGTGTATATATATATATGTGTATATATATATATAAGATCTGAAGCTGTAAGGCGCCGACTCTTCCACTCCCACACCGGGCTCCTCCGATCCGGGCCTGGAGCTTCACGAGTCACAGCGACTAGTTACAGCCATGCTGGGTTGTAATTGCTTTAGGGTTTAGGGTTTAGGGTCTTAGGGTTTAGGGTTTGATACTACAGAATCTACAGACAGAGAGCACATATGAGCACATGCTAGCCCCTACAACCTAGGGATAGTGCCAGGTATCAATCACCAGCCAGTCTTTCCACGCACTATGTGCTGCATGTAAGATACCAGTGCTGTTAGTTGCTGAGCTGTGGGCATTTCATCGCCCTTCGCAAAGGATCGGTACTGGAAGCCTTACCAGCATAAGCTTTCAACGGCCCCGAGCGAACAGTAGGGCTCAACGAAACATGCGATTGCACCGAACGAGAGGGCATCGCGTTGGTGCAGCCGCTCGGAGAGGAGAAGGGCGCCCAGGGTTTCCTGCTGCTCTTCCTCGCAGCAACTGCTTTCTCCGCAAGGCCGCATCAGATGCATCGTGCTCTGGACTTAGCAGCCCGCCCAGCCATCATCTAGCAAGCCAGTGCCTGTCAAGGAATCACATGCAAGTCTCTCTCCCTTCAAGCACCGGAGCACCCGGAATTCTCCAGAAACCTTGCTGTTGGCAAGATAACGCGAAGTTAGAAACAAAAAACGGACACAGGTTGGAAAAAGAGGCCTTGCCTTTATCCGCAAGACTCGACAACGGGATGCTTCGTGCCATTCCGAAGTCTCAACCGCTTCGGGTCCCTCGCAAGGTGGCCTGTGGATATCGCAGCAGCTGCTGCACTCGCCACAGAGCCTTCGAAGCTCGAGTCTTGCATATCAAATTATTACGTAGTACATATTATTCATTATTTACTCTATCTACATATCTAGCTAGCTAGCTAGCTAGCTAGCTAGCTAGCTAGCTAGCTATCTCTTCCTTCCTTCCTTCCCAGGTCTGACTAGCAGACCCGTGCCGTTGGGCACCCCCCCCCCTTCTTTGGACTATGAGGGCAAAGGCTTTGGGGCCAGTGGGCGGATTGTTTCCCCAGCGGTTGGAAAGTGCGGTACAAATTCTGCAGTCGTGGACCCAACCCTGACCCCTGTACTTTAGCCCGAATCCAGGCCTCATCACCGCGCCCTCTACGGCCTCCTTGATCCCTCGACAGCAGATATCCCCCTGTAGTACTCTACGCTTGGCTGACTAGTCTCCCTCTCTCTCCGTCCGTCCGTCCGTCCGTCTGTCTGTTTGTCTCTCTCTATCTCTCTATATCTATATATATATATACACACACATATACATATATATATATATATAATACTGTTTATTCCGTTTTGGATGTATATCTATTTCAACCTATTTCCATTTACAATTTGTGTATTGTATTTGTATGTTCGAGCTCTGAGCTGATGAACTCAAAAGGGCCCACTCACGCGGCCGCAACCCACTTACGCTCACTGGCCAAGCTGCTGTTGTTGGCGGACCACCAATTCATCATGGCCTGGTGGCAAGGCGCTATGCCGATGCTGCTGGCCAGCACAGCTGAGCGCGCGTATCTTCTGATGTACAAAATGCCAAAGTGAGGTAACTCCAACTACTGCTCGGAAGATCTTGGTGGTACCCAGAGCAGAATAGTCATTGGATGACCTAAAGTGTGGCGCACGACTGCCTCCCCCACCCACTTGCCACCTGCCTGCAAGGTTTTGGGGTCATCGGTGTCCAGAGCCTCGGAATTTGGCCAATGTGGCAACACTCTCTGCCAAGGCTCTTGGCAAAGGACATTGACTGGATGACAATGCAACCCTGGCTTCAAGCCGAATTCTGAAGTCTCATTCTCCAATTAATTCGGCTCTATGCAAACTCGAGCACGCTAAATGCACACTCAACTCAACCCCAAACGCTAAACTCAAGAAGGGCCCTGCCTTGCGCATGCGCTCAGCCTCCACATGCAAGGCTCTTTGAACTGCTCGATCCACCTGCTGGGGTGCCGATTACACTGAAGGCTTCCTGCTCCGGAGAAGAGCTGGCGCGACACCGGCCTTCAGCCACAACTGCAAGGCCATCATGGCTTGACCTGCGCTGGATCCGCGGACAGGTGCAGGGAGCATGTCGGATGGCATGTGTGAGAAGCATGGCCTCCTAATGGAGCACTGCCAGCTCGAGTCACGGCTTGCTGACCCCGATCCTTCTGGCACAAATATCCATGCTACTTGTGGTGGCGATGGGGAGCACGAGGTGGCTGCTGTCAAACTTCAATCCAGGACTAGGTTACTACAACTAGGTACTACATGGACATGAAGGACCGGCCCTTCTTCACCACGGATGAAAGAAGTGTCCTGGTACGGGTATCCTGCGTCGTGGTCCAGAGCAGCCTGGGGTACTTTGTGTAGTCTCTTATGTCATAATAAATGACATAATGGTATGTCATATCATGTGCTTGTCTTATCTTATCTTACACCATACCATATTATACTAGTTTACACCAGACTAAAACTGTACTGTAATATGTGATATGACCACCTAAAGTATACTATGGTATACTATGTCATATTCTCTTGTATTATACTGTAATACATTGTACTATGTTGCTGTGTTACTATATTACATTATTAATGTGTTACACTATCCTACGTATATCATATTGTATTGTGCCGTAGTATGTTACAGTGTATGAAGTTATGTTATACTGTCTTAGATTTTCTGCATGCAAGCCGCCCGAGGCACTGAAACGGACCGTGCGGACTTCACTCGAGGGCTGGCCTGACACGAGGCCGGAATCGAAAAACTGCTTCCAATAGAACAGTTACAGTTATAGTAGCACGAATAGTAACAATAATAACAATACATATTGAATATATGGATCATACTTCTAAGAGAGCAATACAAGATAATAACAATAATCGTAATAACAAAATAAATGATAACAAAGAGAACAGTGATTACTTGGAACAATCATAGCAACCATAGTATCTTGCACAGCACAGGGAAACTCTGAGTTCCGAACACCGTCCAAGCCAGAACACAAGGAGGCTTTCCGGATGTCAGACCTGACCGACTCCGCTTGGCCCGCATGGCATACTGCATCATGGTGTGATGAGTTGTCGCAATGAAAAAACATAACATGGGATGGTAAGGTATAGAGAACTAAAATACAGTATAACACAAGCAAAACCTAGTCCGTAGTCCCATCTAGTCTAACCGAACCTATGCAGTAGAAGGTAATGGTTACTCATCTGATCTAAATCTAAAATAATGGAGCACGATACAGTATGATAGAATATAACAGACCATTATGGAAGAAGAACAGACTAGAATCTGCTATAATACAGTATAACAGTATAACAAGGTACTGTAGATAGACGCAAGAATGATATATAGATATGCAAGCCTGCATGCAAAAGGCTCGGAAGCGGACCAGATGTCGGTCAGCTTTGATGCAAGCTCGTGAAGGCTCGTGCGCCAGCTTCCGCAGAACTCCTGCTCTGTGACGCTTTGGGGGGTATCACTGCTCGTCGGGCGTCAGGAGCGTCACAGCTTGGCAGGATTGTCAGGCACCAGGTACTTTCGCAGTCAGGCCTGATCCAGTGCTGCGTGGGATCGTCGCGCCATCTCTGCCCAGTCACGGGTGAGATAGGCAATGCCGGCCTTGACGAATGGCCGTCCCACAAGATAGAGACTGAGCACTGCAGAAGCTCTTGCTTGCTCTCCTGTCTCTGAGCGCCGCGGCGGTCACATCCGCCTGATCGGCTAGCTGGCTCGTCAGTCGCGAGCTAAGCTGTGCCCATCGCCTGCAGGAATGCCCGGGTCTCTACTGATCAAGAGCCTTTGCTTCTTCTATCAAGTCTTATCAGGGTCACTGCGAAGGTACTCTGCGAGCTGGTCGAAAAGGTGCGGCCTGGACCCACCCAGCAGATGGTTCCACCACACCTTGCAGCTGAGCTCAAAGTTTCAACATGCTGCCGGTCAGAGTGTTTTCTCGTCCAATCTTGCTTTCAATTATCTTCAGACAACTTCCAAGAAGAACCATGGCGCTGTGCAAGCTGAGTACCAGGCGATCCAAGCAAAGCTGGCATACAAAACCAGCGAACAGGCAGAAACCTTCGATCAGGGGCTGAATGCTTGACTATATTCGTTCCCCGCGCAACTGGAGCTGCGCATCTTGGCACTGATGAGCAGAAGACAGTCGGCATACAGTCGGCTCATCATTCCGAAATACCAGTATTGTAGGTAGGAGCAGTACCGCAGCCGCCGCCGGCGAGAGGCCGGCACCTGTTGAGACATCGACTGAGATTCAGAGAACGCACAAACACAACGATGTGGAGCTCTATTCAAGCCTTGGAGCTCTATTCAAGCATGCTAGCACACCAGCTTGCAGCTGATCCGTTCTTCTGGTCGCGCCTCTGAGCAGTAGAGGAGCCAACAAACCCAACATCGTGACCTGAAGTCTGCGATTGCAGTCTGCTTCAACTGATGGTACGATGTCGCGATGAAGACACATTGTCGCATGACAGCCTCCTACTGGCAGTGTGCTGTTTTTCGAGCTGCTGCTACCTGAATTGCATTCCTGCCCCTGTGGCTTTGCCATGAGGGGGTTCATTGCCAAGGGAGCAGAACTAGCGGAAAAGGGAATTGTTTTCACAGGAAGCGCTTGACACATCGCCGTCCTCATGCTTTCAGCGAATGCCAGCCACTGCTCAAAGTCGACCTCAAGCTGCGAAAATGATACTGATGACGCATTATGACGCATTGCAACTGGTTGAATGATGACCATGCTTGGTTTCTGTTAGCATTTCTGTTCGTGGTGCTTTCTTTAGAAAGTGAAGAAAACCGGATGAAGTACCGATCCGGCAGATTATCGTTTCGACCGTGAAACTCAAAGTGGAGAAACTTCTGCATTTGGTCAGGCCACCCCGCTGCCACCGTGCTGCGGCTGGTGGCTCCGGCTGCGCATTCGCTCGGCCTCCCACTCCAGCTTCCGGATTGAGGACGGCGCCTGGCGGGCCAGTGATTCTGGTGGTGCGTCTGCACCTGACGGCGACCAATGCTTGGCGCGACAACACTGACCCACAACCATGCAAGAACATTCAATGACTTCGCAAAGTTGCTGTAAATGCTGGCTGTCATCCAGTCAGGCACATTGTGCATGGCATACCTCGGTTCGACGGCCGTGAACGCAACTTTTGGCCACACGGGCAACAAATCTAAGCACTAAACAGCAAAATGTGAGAAAAAATGTCATTGTGTTGCATTGCTTTTACTGAACTACAAGGTGTCTTGGTGGCTGGTGTATGCTACCATTGTAGCCCCACTCCCATGTAACTTTGCATACATCATCATACACTATTCCAGAAGCTGCTAGCCGTCGACATTCTGTGCATCAAAGCTTCGCCAGCTTCCAGAGCGTGTTCATGCCCTACCCGCTCCGGTCTTGCAGGTTCACTGTGACTCATATACGACGCATGCGCATAGAAGCTCATTTACAACAACTACACCCACAAGGGTCCCTCTTTGCATGCATCATACATATACATACATACATACATACATACATACATACATACATACATATATACATATATACATACATACATACATACATACATACATACATACATACATACGTACTTACGTACATACGTACACACGTACACACGTAGATACGTACATACGTACATACGTACATGTACATATACATATACATATACATATACATACACATACATACATACATACATACATACATACATACATACATATATATATATATGTATGATTGTGAAGATATCAAAAGAAAAAT